TGGCATCTTTAACTGGGGGTAAGATAGGAGCAGAACCTCACTTCTCCAGGGCAGTCTACTGGCTCCAACTGAACTTGGTCATTTGTAATCGCAGTAGGTTGTTATATAGCACTTCCTAGACTACAGATTGCTTTAAGTGCACATTCTGGCTTAGCCATTTGGGATGGCCTGGAATTCTGCACTTTCATTAAGGGCCCCATGTTCTCCACGCTGCTGGTCTGGGGACTGCACTTGAAGGAGCTGGGAGAAGTGAGGATCAGCAAGATGGTTTATTGACGGGAGCCTGTTGGAAATGCGCAAGTCCTTTGGTATGGTGACCATAGAGAGGAAAGACATGTTGTCTTAGGTGAATCAGGGAAGATTTGGGGGGGGCGGAAATGGTTGAAGTGTCAATATAACCGAGAACAATGAGAAAAAGCAGTTGGCATCTTTTCAGTGGCTTGTCCTCACCTCTGAGCCATTGTCCTCTATCTCCTAGGATCAGCCTGGCAAATAGCCAGTTGAATGAACTTCAGAAAAGCCATGCTCAGCTGGAAGCAGTGGCACATGCCTGTAATCCCAGAGGCTGAGGTGGGAGGATTACAAATTCAAGGCCAGCCTCAGTGACTGAGGCTCTAAGTAACTTAGCAAGACCCTGTCTCAAAAGAGCCTGAGAATGTGGCCTCAGTGGTTAAGTGCCCATGGGTTCAATCCCTGGACCAAAAACTAAAAGTGACTCAGGTGGAGCCAGCCGCAAGGTTCTGTAAATGTTGATAAAAATGCCTGTTCCAGTGTGCCAGCCATGAGTGTCCTGCATGTGTGCACACCTGTCTCTCTATCCAGCTTTATTTTCCTTTGCACAGGATTTGGGGGAAAAAACCTCATCTGGCCAGCTGATCAAAAGTTTTAACTAGTGGGCTATTATCAGTGTTTCCATCAGCCATTGTTGGAACCCTCAAGTACCTTGGGCTTAGAAAGAAATTATCATTCATTAGGTCCCTTCTGTTAGATTAAAAGTTTTAAAAATTATTTTTAATGTGTTTTAGTTACACATAACAGTGTGGTTCATTTTGACGTAGTTATAAACAGTTTTCTGTTTCATTTTCCCGGTTATGATCACCTTCACTTCCTTCCCTTCTCCTTCCTACTCCCCCGATCTTCTACCTCTTTATCAGTCTTCTTCTATGTATTTATTTTTAACTGGTGCATTATACTTATATATACAACTGGAATGCATTGAGGTAGTCATTCGGGCACATAGCATAATTTGGTCAACTTTATTCTCCAGTTCTTCCCCTTTGCTTCCCCTCTTCCCTGTCCTCCGTCTCTGGCTTCAACTCTACTGTTCTCACTTCTAGTTTCGGGAGATCCTCCTCTTAGTATTTTTTCCCCTCTAGCTTCCACACATGATAGAGAACATTAGACATTGGACTTGGATTCTAGTGTATTTTTTCAGTGTGGGTATACACACACACACACACAATGGGGATCTATGCAGTCATAAAGAAAAATTGAAATCGCATCCATTCACTGGTAAATGGAAGGAACTGGAGAACGCTGGAAAGGGTCTACTTTAGATTTTGTGATGTAGATTTGGCCCCACTGGACTGTGGCTCTAGGGTCCAGAAGCAGTGGTTGAGGATTCAGCCCTCAGGCTCCCTGCCTGCTGGGTCGGACATGCCTAGGAATCCGTGAATTTAGGGTGGTGGTGCTATCTGAAGTTTCCAGAGTCGCAATGACAGTTGCAGCACATCATAGATTGATTCTTGCAGCCGTTAGCCATTCCATCACCTGTGATAGTTGGGTATTTTTCTCTTGTTTATGTTTTTGGAGATGGGGTGATATTGGGGATTGAACCCAGTACACTCCAAGCACTGTACCACTGAGCTCCAGTCCCAAGCCCTGCGTGTGTGTGTGTGTGTGGGGGGGGGGGGTGACTTTTCAAAAGTGAATTACAAACGGCAGTTACTCGCCCTGCTGATGTGAATTTGGAGTTGGGAATATTTGGTCCCAGCACTGTGGCCCTGGGGTTTTCAAGGGAGCTGTGTCCCCAGCTCCTAGGACTTGACATGTGGGCCTGCTGGCGATGCTTCAACAGTTTTGATATGTCCAACTGCTAATTCTTCTCACCTGTGAAAACAACTGGTGTTAGTGCACACAATCCTTAATTTACCCCAGTGGCTCTAGGCTCAGCCCCAGAAGCAAAGGGGGGAAATGAATCTCTTCATGTGGTTTTTTTTTTCTCACTGGAGTTTCGTTCTGTGTGTCATTATGCATTTGTGTTAGAGCAGCCAAGGGCCGACAAACTGCCCTTGTGCGGGAGAGCGAGGCAGTGTGTGGTCTGTTTGGGCAAGTGCTCGGTTAGGTTTCCAAAGGGCTGTGGCTTCCAGCCCTGCTTCTGTTTGGGAATTCTATAGCCGTGGCCCACCCTGGTGAGACCAGAGGAGCGTGAGCTGCCCAGCAAGAACCACCCAGAGCATTACTGAAGTGGGTAGGGCTGCTGGGGTGGGTACCCTGACTGTGGAGGGCCTCCCTTATGTCAACTTCAGCCGGGCATCCTCACAGAAGCAAATACACACCCTCCAAGACTTACCTGGAGAGAGATCCTTTGGTGGGGAAAGGGGGAAATAATTTTTTTTTTGTACTGGGATTTGAACCTAGGGGTGCTTAACCACTGAGCCACATCCCCAGCCCTTTTTAAATATTTTATTAGAGACAGGGTCTCACTGAGTTGCTAAGTGCCTTGCTAAGTTGCTGGAGCTGGCTTTGAACTCACGATCCTCCTGCCTCAGCCTCCTGAGCCACTGGGATTACAAGTGTGCTCCACCTTGCTCGCACCTCCCTATCTTTGTGTGTGCTCTGGATCCTTCAAGTTCAGGGTGTGGAAGCTCAGCTCAGGGGCATTGGAAATTGCATTCCCATGCTTTCCCATGAACCCTGGCACCAGGGTTCTTTGTGATGTCTGCCAGTCCTGCTTGAGGGTCTCAGATGGCTGCTGTGGGAGGGAGGCCTTGTTTGCCTAGCCAGAGTGTTGGTGGGGAAGCAGTGTCATTCTGAGGCCAGAGTGGGGGTGACTGGGTGAATGAGACCCTCAGAAGAAGGTGACTCTCGGGACGGAGTGAGGGGAGCCTGGGCGTGCTTGCTTCGTCCGTCCTCAGGGAGGCTGTCTAGGATCTTTCCAGTCTCTGGTGGACACCTCCCCACAGATGCTTAGCAGAAGATGTGTTGTCCTCCAAGGCATGGAGGAGAGGATGAGTTTCCTGAGTGGAATGAATGTCTTGGCCAGGTTGGCCTCCTCTCCTCTGCAGCCTGCGAGAGAGATGGAACCACTCACATTCTCATTAAACAGGGGCTTTGAATTTTCTACTCTTAGAACATCAGTGTGGCTTTAGATTAAAGTCTCATTCTACAAGACTTTTCCAAATGGCTCACATCTCAGTACAACTGTGTCTAATTAGTGTTCTTTAGTAATCTCTGCTGTAGATGTTTGGTTGACAACTTTCTAAAAACAAGGCACCAAACTATAGGGCAAGAGGATGTTTGTACCATTGGGAGGGGACTTATAGTCATTTCCCCCTTGTTCTGCACCCACCCAGGCTCGGACCTGACTCTTCCTCCTCATGGTGTGCTTCTTTCCCTGTGACCGGGCCTGCTGGGGATGGCCCAGCTTTGCAGCTTTGTGGTTCAAAGTGAAGCATACAGAGCTTCTTTCTTGCCTTTGTCTGAGGGCAAACCATTGCAGGAGTGGGGGGCGGGTGGCAAAAGGAGGAGGGCAGAGAAGAGAAATGGCATCTTTAAATCCCCCCACTTTTTTTTTTAATTGAAAGCTCCCATGTCACAACTAAATTATGAATTTGTATGAGCACTACACAGGTGAAATCATGATAACCACCTCCAGAAACCAGTTACACCTTCCCTTTCTACTCCCTGGAGAGAGAACCGTCCTCTTGACCTTAATGCCATGGTTAAACTTCACTGGCTTTTCAACTTCAGATATGTGGATTTGGAGCAGGAAGCTCTTAAGTCCCGTGTCTTGCGCTCGGGGTTCTATTGTGTGCTGCTGCTTTGAGGCTGCAGCAGGAGGATGTCCGTGGATTTTTTTTTTTGTTGCTGCCTAGAGCTTCAAGGCATGACTGCACCAAGATTTGCTACTCTGGCACTGATGGGTCTTTCAGCCGGGGACATTTTGTGCATGCCCCCTGCAGAGCCCACATGTGCACTTGTGTCGGGTGTAGTTTTAGAAATGGAATGATCGGGTTATAGAGGAGGCTCAGCCTTATGAGAAGCCGATGACTAGTTTCCCAAATGGTTTTAGCAGTCCACACTCCTGCCAGCAGCGTGTGGGGGTGCCTGTTGCCCTGCATCCTTGACGGCACTTGGCATTTTCAGTCTTTTTGGTTTGGGCCTTCTAGGGAGTCTGGAGGGCTGTCTCTTTTGGATTTATCTGGTAACTAATACAGGGGAGCACCTGCTCATGTATCTATTGTCCATTTGGTTATCTCATTTTGTGAGGTGTCTGTTCAGGCCTTTGACTCATTATTCTATTGGTCTGTCAGTGTTTTTCTTATGGGTTTGTTATGAGTTTGTGTTCTGAAGAGGAACCTTCTGTTTTTACATGTTTCCCTCCAGCTATCCTCTGATTCTGCCACCCCCCACCAACCCCCAGTGCTGGGTATGAACCGAGGGCCTTGTGCATGTGAGGCAAGGGCTCTACCATTGAGCTGCACCTCAGCACTATCCTTTAAACTTTCTACCTACTTCCCCACTATTGAGGATGGAGCCCAAGGCCTCATGCATGCTTGGCAAGTGCTCTACCGCTGAGCCAATTCCCGGCCCGCCCTTAAACTTTTAATGCACCCGGAGAAGATCTAACAGGTTAACTGTAGGACTCTTGAGCACATGGGTAATGATTTCCCAGTGAGCATTCAGATGAATTGCCAAGGCTGGGTGAGGATTTAACCACCTGCCTGTTCTCTCCAGTACTGGGTTATGACAGAATGCCTTTTCCTCTCCATATGCAGGGTCCTGGTGGGAGCACCAAAAGCAGATTCCAAATACAGCACTTCAGTGAAGTCCCCCGGGGCTGTGTTTAAGTGCCGCGTCCACACCAACCCTGACCGCAGATGCACCGAACTGGACATGGCTCGAGGTGGGTGGATGTCACTGCCAAGGTTTCCACGGGCAACTTCACACTGTGCTCTTTTTCTCCCCAGGGTGGCCTGATCCTTATCCACTTGTCTGTCATCCCTCCCTCCCCACAAATGTCTGTTAAGTACTTTTTAGATATTAAGCACTGGGATGTACTAGTGAACAAAACAAGGATCCTGTCATCCTTGGCTTTGAACATGAATGGTCAGAAGAGAAAACAAATGAGAAGACTGGAGGGAAGGTGGGTACTTCATCTCATCTTGGAAAGACAGGGAACGGCTCCCTGAGGACCTTTCCACATGACTAGAAGATGCATAGTTGTTAGCCGGGCAGGTCTGGGAGGGAGAATCTCTAAACAGAGGGGTTAACAGAGCGAGAACTGTGTAGCAGGGGTGGTGGGCAGGGTGGACAGAAGCAGAGGAGGTTGGAAAGGAGGGCTGGGGCTAGGTCACACAGGGCCTAGCAGGCCAGGGTGAGGTGTTAGGAGTTTTCTGTGTATGAGGGCGAGGATGTTAAAATCAATTTTAGGCCTTAGATTTTAAGTGGGGAACAATATGATTGATGGATGTTTTTAAAAGCTCACTTTGATCCAGTGGAAAATACATCTTTGGAATAGGATGGATCTGGCTGGGTTCAAAGCCCAGCTGGACTTTACTGGGAATGCCCTGTAGCTTCTTGGGCCTCAGTTTGCACCCTGTCAAACCAAGATGAAAATACATACCTCACAAGGATTGGCTTGAGGAGATTAGCCAAATAAGGGAGCACACATGTAAAACAGTGCTCAATGAATAAGAGTCATTTTTATGATCACTTCAAGTTTCTACTTTCTCCAGAGCCCTTTTTCATCAAGATCTTTGAAGAATTATTATAATTATAATATTTTGGTACTGGGAATTGAATTCAGCATTGCTTAACCATTGAGCCACATCCCTAAACCCCCTCCCCCCTTTTTTTTTTTTTTTTTGGTTTGAGACAGGGTCTAAGTCCTTAGGGCCTTGTTAAGTTTCTGAGGCTGGTCTAGAACTTGCAATCTTGCTTTGGCCTCCTGAGATGCTGAGATTACAGGTGTATGCCAGCCATGGCCAGCATTATTATTTAAAAATTATGTTTAAATAAAAAAGTTCTTGTGATTTTCTTTAGCAGCAGAGGACAGCTGTCTGCTGGTGCTACCGAGAGTGACTAGTTTGCCAACTGTTTCTTACTGGTACAATACAAATGAAGGAGCTTGCTTCAGAGCATTAATCTTTGCACTTCTTCCTTCATTGAGAGTCTCCCTATGACCTGAACAGACACTTCTCAGAGGAGGACATACAATCAATCAACAAGTACATGAAAAAATGCTCACCATCTCTAGCAGTCAGAGAAATGCAAATCAAAACCACCCTAAGATACCATCTCACTCCAGTAAGATTGGCAGCCATTATGAAGTCAAACAACAACAAGTGCTGGCGAGGATGTGGGGAAAAGGGTACACTTGTACATTGCTGGTGGGACTGCAAATTGGTGCAGCCAATCTGGAAAGCAGTATGGAGATTTCTTGGAAAGCTGGGAATGGAGCCACCATTTGACCCAGCTATTCCCCTTCTTGGTCTATTCCCTAAAGACCTAAAAAGAGCATGCTACAGGGACACTGCTACATCGATGTTCATAGCAGCTCAATTCACAATTGCAAGACTGTGGAACCAACCCAGATGCCCTTCAATAGACGAATGGATTAAAAAAATGTGGCATTTATACACAATGGAGTATTACTCTGCATTAAAAAATGACAAAATCATAGAATTTGCAGGGAAATGGATGGCACTAGAGCAGATTATGCTAAGTGAAGCTAGCCAATCCCTAAAAAACAAATGCCAAATGTCTTCTTTGATATAAGGAGAGTAACTAAGAACAGAGTAGGGACGAAGAGCATGAGAAGAAGATTAACATTAAACAGAGATGAGAGGTGGGAGGGAAAGGGAGAGAAAAGGGAAATTGCATGGAAATGGAAGGAGACCCTCAGGGTTATACAAAAGAACATACAAGAGGAAATGAGGGGAAAGGGAAAAATAATATAAGGGGGAGAAATGAAGGTCAGTAGAGGGGGTAGAGAGAGAAGAGGGGAGGGGAGGGGGGATAGTAGAGGATAGGAAAGGTAGCAGAACACGACAGTCGCTAGTATGGCAATATGTAAATCAATGGATGTGTAATTGATGTGATACTGCAATCTGTATATGGGCTAAAAATGGGAGTTCATAACCCACTTGAAGCAAAGTGTGAAAGATGATATATCAAGAACTATGTAATGTTTTGAACAACCAACAATAAAAAAATATATATATATACAAATAATGCATTTTTGATGGGAAAAACCTCTACCAAAAAAAAGAGTCTCCCTATGAAAAAAAAATTGAATTAAGCATGGTGCATAGTAATGGAGGTTATAAGGCCCCTATTTACATGTAACAGACATCTGTCACCAACCTTTCAATAGTGACCAGTAGAGATCATGCCTCAACCCAAGTCTGACATTCCTCTTTTTCTCCAGGGAAGAATCGGGGCATGCCCTGTGGAAAGACCTGCCGAGAAGACCGGGATGATGAGTGGATGGGGGTGACCCTGGCACGGCAGCCCAAGGCCGATGGCCGCGTGTTGGTAAGGACTTCTGGGGCAGGGGATGGTTCCCTGACTGTGATAGACTTTGACCTGTTAGGAAAGCTGGATGGCACAGAGAAGAAGGGATGGCTTTGAGGTTGCAGATTCTGCCCTAGTCCATGGACAAATTACTTGCCTTATTTTTATTTTTTATTTGCCAAATGTCAATGTTCATCCCAAGGTGCTGAGACATGGATGTAGAGAACTGACAAGACGTGTGAAAAGAACTTTGTAAATCTCATTCATTACATAATTTTTTTGTTTGTCTTTGAGGTATAATTTACATAAATTACACAATTCTTAGTTGTGTTTGGGGTTCTGACAATTGCACACACCTGTGTCTCTCATACCATGCTATAGAGTATTTCCATTGTCCCCTAAAGTTCTGTCTTCCTATCCAGTCAACTCCTCCCACCCTGAGGCAACCACTGCTGTGATTGGTAGTACCACATATTATTTTAGCTTTTTATAGAACTTCATGTTAGTCCTACAGTATGTGCTCTTGTTTAAGTATTCTGAAGATCTGAGTTTCATCCATGTTTCCATGTTGTGTATATATCAGTAGTTTATTCCTTTTTTTTTTTTAATTGGGATGCTCTACCACTGAGCCATATCCCCAGCCTTTTTAAATTTTGAGACAGGGTCTTGCAGATTTGCTGAAGCTGTCCTCGAACTTGTGATCCTCCTACCTCAGCCTCATGAGTTTCTGGGATTACAGCATGCACCACTGCATCTGGCTTCAGTAGTTGATTCCAATTTGTTCCTAGATGATATTACATTATGAAATACATGTTGTACAAAAATTTTTGAGACAGGTTCTTAAGTTGCATAGGCTGACCTTGAACTCCTGGGTTGGAGTGATTCTCCCACCTTAGCCTCTCTAGTAGCTGAGACGACAGGTGCCCATCACTGTGCCTACCATAAACTGCATGCTATTTTTTTTTTTTTTGGTGGTCCTGGGGATTGAACCCAGAGCCTTGAGCATTCAAGGCAAACATTCTACCAACTGAGCTATATCCCCAGCCCAAATTGCATGCTATTTTAATTAGTCATTTATTTGGCTTCCAAAATGCATTTGATGTCTTCTGATCCATTATGTGCTTTGGAGGAGACACAAAGTCTTTGCCTTTGAGGCTCCTAATGGCCTCGGGTTGCAGTGCCCAGTGAGGCAACCGCATTTAAATTCATTTAAATGTATCAAAATTAAATTAAGAATTCAGTTCTTTTGGCTACGTTAGCCACATTTCAAGTGCGCCATAACCACGTATGGTCACTGCTTAGTGTATTGGACAGCCTGGAGAACACTTCCATCATCCCAGAAAGTTTTGTTGGACTCGAGAGAAAAGAAATTTAACTACCATGGGGGTTTTATTTTTGCCCATTACCCCTCTTTTTCTTGTAAACTTTTCTGTTGAGATGTAACACTAAGTCACTGAACATGCACAACTCCAGCACAGCTTGGTGACTTTTTCATGACACGTACTTAGGTGTCCTGCTGCTGACACACCACCCAGTGTCCTTGTGCCCTTTCCCAATCAGTCCCCTGCCCTTTCGGAGCATCACTGTTTGACTTCACAGGTCTCTTCTGCCCCTGGCTCTTCTTGAATGCTGTAGGAGGGTTTTTATTATAACAGCACAAGATCGAGAAGGGAAAATGAGACTGGCTGTCACTCACCAAGGCTTCCTTTGGGCCCCCAGCCATAAAGGGGAGGGTTAAATGTGTATTTGAGCCGGGGAAGCAGATCTTCCTTGAGGATCTAAACAAAATGTTTGTGTCTTCTCTGAGGAGCCTGATTTTGTGCTCCTTGGGCCTGATGTGAGCCTTGGATTCCAGTCCTTAATCACTGTCACTGCTGGCCCTGGACCCTTGCCAAGCTGTCACATTCCTCCAGGCCTGGTGGCCTGACCTCCTTGATGGGAGCACTCGGCCCCAGAAGGGCCAGAACTCATGTCTGCCTTTTTGAGAAAACGAAGGGAAGAAGCCAGCCATCTATAAATCAAAGCACCATCTGAAGTTGTGATTCAGAATGAAAGAGGAGGCAGTGGCCTAGCAACAGCATGTCACAAAATGCTTTTAAGGACATTGAGCCCAGAGCTGAGTCTTCTCCTGTGAAGATATTTCCTCTTCTCATGGAAGGATAATTTTTTTTTTTTTTTTTTTTTTTTTTTTTGATACTGGGATTGAACTCAGGGGTGCTCTGTCACTGAGCTACATCCCCAGCCCTTTTTGTTTTTATTTTGAGACGGGCTCTCACTCAGTTGTTGCGACTGGCCTTGAACTGGTGATCCTCCTACCTCAGCCTCCAGGGTTGCCACTGTGCCTGGTGGAAGAATGATCTTGCTATGGCTGAGACTTGTTTCCAAGGGACAAGACAAAGATTCTGCCAGAAGGGGCTGTCTCTGGGGACACAAGCAGCAGGGGGGATCATGGGGGAAGATTTGGCAAAGGATGTCAAGGCAGAGCAGAGTATTTGTAGACAGTGGTACTTTGGATAATCCCATTTAATTAACTGCTTGCAGAGCTGTTTTTCTAATGTCTTGCACATTGATTACATCATATATTCAGTAATCCACTCTGTATCGGTGCTGGAGAAGGAGAGGGCCATCTGTGGTTTTACCTCTTTTTGTTTCCAATTGTGGTAAAAAAATGTAACAAACGATGTATCCTCTTTGTGGGTTTTTTTGTTTGTTTGGTACCAGGGTTTGAACCCAGGAGTGCTTAACCACTGAGCCACATTCCCAACTCTTTTTTTATATTTTATTTAGAGATGGGGTCTCACTGAGTTGCTTAGTACCCCTCACTAAGTTGCTGAGGCTGGCTAGGAACTCGAGATCCTCCTGCCTCAGCTTCCAAAGCCACACACAGGGATTATAGGCATGTGCTACCTTGCCTGGCACAATGTATCTTAATCCTTTTTAAAAAATATTTTAAAAATATCTTTTTTAGTTGTAGGTGGACACACACCTTTATTTATTTTTGTTTATATGTAGTGCTAAGGATTGAGCCGAGGACCTCACACATGCTAGGTAAGCACTGTATTGCTGAGCCACAATCCCAGCCCTCTTAAATCTTTTTTATGTTGTATATAATATTAAATAAATGCACATTATACAGTAAGTATATATCTAGAATTTTTCTGTCTTGCAAACTCAAAACACTATCCATTGAACAAAAACTCCCCTTACTCCCTCCCCATTGGTACCTGGAAACTGCTCGTAATTTCTATTCTGAGAGTCTGTTGGATTTCATATGAGTGGAATCACCCAGTATTTATCCTCTCGTGATGGGCTCCTTTCACTTAGCCTGATGTCCTCGAGGTTCAGCCTTGTTGCAGCATACGACAGAATTTTTTAAGGCTGAATAGTATTTTATGATATATGTAAGTCAAATTGTCTTTTCATCCACTGGTGGCTGCTTGTAGATGCTCGTAAACGTGCATCTACAAATATTTCTCCAAGACCCTGTTTTCAATCCTTTTGGGTATTTGCCCAGAAGTGGGATTTCTGGATCACTTGGTAATTTAATTTTTAACCTTTTGAGAAACCTTGATACTATTTTCCAAAGTGGCACCATTTTGTATTCTCACTGGTAGCACACAAAGGTCTCGGTTTTGCCACATTCTTGAGGGTTTTATTCTTTGGCTGTTTGATACTGGGGATTTGAACCCAGGGTCCTTGTGCATCCTAATCACTCTGCCATTGAGCTACATCTCTGGGTCACCAGCACTCCCCATTAATATAATACACAGGTTGTCCCAGTGGGCATTGAAGTAATATTTCATTATAGATCTGGTTTGCTTTTCCCCATGGCTGGTGATGTTGAACATCTTCTCCTTTGCTTTTTGGCCATTTGTACTTCTTTATAGAAGTGGCTAAGTCTTTGCTCATTTTAAAATGGAATTGTACCTTTTATCATTGACTGACTTTGAGGGATTTTATTCAGTTTTTCTAGGAAAGGCTTTTCCTAAGTCCCCTGTGTCCTTGATACCCAACCCCAGTTGGGCTCTGCTTCCTCCTTGGAGCCCGTATGGAACAAGCTGAATATCTTTTGTGTCCTTGGAACTCAATGTGACATTATCACCTCATATTGCACATATGATTTATTTTGTGTTTGTGTCCTTTTTATGGAACCCACTTGGGAACAGAGACCACTCTTGTTCTCCATGCCTGGAGGACATCTCTTAGGAATGGTATCTTATCTTAAAGTGTATTTGCATAACCTGAGGCCTGAGCATCCTTGTTAGAACATCTAGAAACCAAGTTGTCATCTTTTCTTGGTGGCTGATTCTAAGTCATTGATAGAAGTGCCAGGCAAACTGCTCTAAAGTGACAGGTGACAACAAGGTACAATGAGTGGCCATCTTGTCCACATTCATGTTTCGGAGGCCTTTGATCCATTTGCTTTTTCTTTAATGTCTTCATTCTCCCTGTTGAAGCTTTCTTGGAGGCAAGTATTTTAAAATTAAAACCAGAAAGGATGTTGTGTCATTTGAATGCATTTTGAAAATCCAGTAAGGAGGTGCTGTAGGGATAAGAACTAGGTTCCTAGGGAGCACAGCATCAGATTCCAAGGTTGGGTTTGAAGAGGGAGAGGTGGCAGGGTGCTTTGAAAAGGGCATCTGGTCTTGATTTCAAAGTAAGGAACAGATGGAGAACTGGAAAGCTGTGACAGGGAGTGAAGCCTTTGATTGACAAATGGCATCATTTGGATGAGCTCAGGCAAGACCCAAACTGTCAGGGCTTCAGACCTGTCCACCTGGGCTCTGTGAGCAGTGTGGTACCTTCCAATTTTGCCCCAGGGAACAAATGATCCCCAGTGAAAACACAGCATCAGGAATGGGGGGCGAGCCCTTTTCCTTCTTGTACGTACACCTTGCTCTCTGTGTGCAGTTGATATTTTAAGAAACAGGCAAGATATAAAGTCATCACTTCTTGCAATCACCACTGCTGAACCCAGTACAGGCACTGATGCTTCTCATACACAGTGCAGGGCGGCTAGGGAAGTTCAAGCCCATTATCTATCCTTTTGATCAGAGTTGTCAAGGCTCAGAGAACAACAAATGATTTGTCGATTATTTCTGGGTGAAGCAGTGTTCTCCGGCTCTATCTCTGCCATTTCCTTTCTAGCCATCAGGGCTGTCCTGACCGCTTCCCATGTGTGTACTTCTTTCAAAGCCACAGGGTACATTTTTGCATTTACTTTCTGTTGCTCTGTTTCCTGGTGTATGTGTGTGCGCGTGTGTGAGAATTCTTATTGAGCTGGGACACATGCAGAAAAGGGCATGAGCCATCAGAGTGCACCTTGATAAGTGTTCATTAGGGGGACATCCACTGAACAACATTCCCAGTGCCACACAAGTCCCCTCTTGGTGCCTCCCCAGTCATTGCATCCTCCTCCACCCAGAAACTTGTTCAGGGGAGCCTTGTGGCATCCTAGCCTCACTTTGATCTTGTGCACACTGCACATGATGTTCTCAGTGGCCCTGGCCTGGCTGGCTGTGAGCCGTGGACCTGGAAGCATGAGAGAGGCTTTGGCCATCTGTACATGGCGGATGAGCGTGTAGGAGGGTAGGGTGGATCTCTGTGGCTGAGCCACCTGGAGAGGCTCAGTACCCACCCCCCAGGAAGTACATGCTGTTTCCATACAAGAAAAAAGGCCTTTGAAAGAAATTGTTGGTTTTCTTCCTCTTTTTATTCCTTGGGAGGAAAAGCAACCCTTCTAGCTTGAAATACATCTGGTTCTAAGATTTGGAATGGTGGCAGGCCCTCCTCCTCCTTCGTAGAATGATTTTAAGTGAGTCCTCTTTTTCTACCCCTTGCCCCACTTGGGAATTGAACCCAGGATGGCCTCATATATGCTAAGCACTCATCCAGAGTAGGTCCTGCTGTTTCCAGAGAATGTTCTCCTTTTCCCTCATAATGACTCCTGGGAGAGATTGTTATTAATACTTTGCAGATAGCCCCTCAGAATTTTTATTTTATTTTAGTTTAGGGGTCAAATGGATGTGTGTACATAGTGATAATTGGGCTCCAGGCAGTGTTTTCTTTCTATAATTTACATTCAGACACTTTGTGCTGTCTCCCTGCACGGAGCCTGCTTTCGACATTTTGATCTGACTTCCCAGAATGCCTTAATTTTAGTTTTGTTTAGTGTGAAATACAGTAGTGGGAACTTCTAGGAATTCTCTAAGGTCCTTCTCTAAATAGTTTATGGTACTTAAAAGAGTAGACAATATACTAGACATTAAATACTGCAAGTCCTTCCTGATATGTGTCAGTGTGCAGCTGGCTGTCGGCAGTGATAAACATCCTCCTCTCCAACCCAGAAATGCAGTAGGACATGGTAAGCCCTCTAAGCCCTGGCCTTTGCTGAATCCATCAACTTCAGTACAACTAATTTACCCATGAATTAGGTGATAAGTGATTCCAGTGTGCAAGCCATCAGAATGGAGTCAGAATTGACAATTAAAAAAATCACTTACAGCTGATATCCCAGATATCCATGGATTTTTGCATCTGTGGATTCAAATAACTGGCTCAAAATATCTTAATATTGCACCTGCATTGAACATGTATAGACTTCTTTCCTTCTCATTTACTAAAAATATAATAACTTACATAGCATTCACTGTATTGGGTGTTATGAGTGAGGCAGAGATGATTGAAGGTATACATGAGGGTGTGCATAGGTTATATGTAAATACTATGCCAATTTAGAAGGGACTTGAGCACCTGTGAATTTTGGTTTCTGAATCGCATTCTAGAGCCACTCTGCCTTGGGTACCAAGGGACAACTCTATGGGGTGGTATGAAGTGGTTCTTTGTTTATTGATGTTTTAGTTCTGTACTGCATATTATTTCTATGTTTTGAGAGATGTGTGATTTTTTTTTTTTAAGCATAGAACAATATCGAGTGATGAGGCAGGAAGGTGGTTTGCAGTAGAAGTAGTGATAATAGATTGATTTCTGTATTTAATGTCTTCAGACAAGAGACCAAGTGTGGTTGCCCAGCTTTGAGAATCATTCTGAGTGTGTCCTCTTTTGTCTTTGGGCAGAGTGGCTTGTCAAGGGTCCTGATGGCAGTTGGCCTGGAGGGATCCAAAGCAGATTGCTTAGGAGGCCGTGATCTTGTCTTAGAATGGCCTTGGGAAATCTGTGCCCCTAGGGAGTCCCCCACATACTCAGGAGCACCCAATCTGAGGGTGGTTATTTCAAGGTCCTAGGACCTTGGGGGGTGCTGAGAGGATAAACTGGTACCAGATCTGCTTCAGGGGATGTGTGTTGATGACTCCTCAGGTAGGAATTGGGAGCTTGGATGCAGAATGCTTTGCAGTGAGACAAGATTTAGAAACTGTGGATTCCAGCCTGGTTTGCAGCACTTGCTAGCTCCATGGCTTAGACCTAGCACTAATTCTCTGTTACTGACAAGAAAATGAGATTCCATAGGATATCTCTTCTGCTCATCTTCTGGAATCCCAGAAGAAGTCAAAGGTGGACCATTATAACCCATGAATAAGTGTATTTGAAGGAAACAGACATTAAATAATTGATTTTTTTTAAATTCAATATTTTAAGACCATGCAGCCATTGGCCAGAATGAGATAAGCTGATAACAGAAATCAGCGGTGCATGCCCAGGAGAGGCAGGTGGGGCCAGGCAGATGTGCATTCTGGGGGGTCCTTGTCATTGTTGTGCAGAGACACGTACACAGAACTGAGACCACTCTCCTGTTGGAAGGGGAGGCAGGGGCACAAAGTGGGACAGAAGGATGGCCAGGTGTGAGTTCTAATTGCTGGCACTTAGTCCCTATCTGGTGGGAACTGCCCTGACTCACAGCCTCTTACTGCAGGTTTGTCCCCAGCACTGAGGCTGGCGAGCCATGTACCCTGAGGCTGCTCTCCAAGCTGGCCAAGGTGCCCTGTCTGTCCCTGATGGCCTCCCGTTCTCCAAGCGCTCTCCTGCCCCTCTGCCCTGAATATTCCCCCTGGTTCACGTCTCATGTCCCCCCTTAGAGGGCCTCACTGAGCAGCCTGTGTAAACCAGCCCTGGCACCAGGGAGCTTTCTGGTTAAATGGAAAGAGATGTCTTGCTAGGGCTTGGGTGACATGAGTGTGTGCACTTGCCAAAGCTTGTTAAGTAGTACATTTGATGTTTGTGTTTTGCTGTATGGAAATCTACTCCAATAAACAAGCCATCAACAAGCATTTATTACTAGAAAGTTGAGGAGCTGCCTGCTCAAGTGTCTCCGCAGGTAAAAGCAGAGTTATATGTGGGTGGGTGCTCCCTTTCCAGCACTCTCCATGCCTGGTCATTCCTCAGGCTCATTAGTTTTACCTCGAGCCTGTGTCCTGATGACATTCCCCCTGCCCATCCTGGTCCAGGTCAGCAGCATCTCTCACCTAGTGGTTCACTTCCTCTCCTGCCCACCCACAGCCTCCACGCAGCAGCAAAATGACCTTTACAAACTGTAAAGTGGATCGGCCACTGTGTGAGGCTCTCCCCTGGCTTTTTATCGTCTGTCTGCTGAAATCACAGGTGTCCCTGTAGTCTCTGAAACCTGCCCCCATATCCTCCCTCCCTCTCTGACTTCCTCTCCTAACCATGCCTCTCCAGACCAGCCCTGCCCACTTCCATTCTTTCTCTGGACCTCCCCAAGTCTCCCACCTCCTGTCCTTTGCACTGTTGGTCCCCCTTCCTCAGAACACTCTTCCCCAAGTGCTCCATGTGGTTAGGTCTTTCTCTTCCTTCAGGCCTTCCCTGACCACCAGATGGAAACCGTCCCTCCTTCTCGGATTTGCTATTCCATAACCCTCATTCTTCTTAAGCTTACGCTTGCACTTGCTATGATTATCATTTGCCAATCTTTGACCACCTGCCTTCCCCCAGGAGCCTCCTGGGAGCATGTTCATGCGAGCAAGGGCCTGGTGTGTCTGGGCAGGAGAGGAGGTAGCTAGCTTCTCCCTCTGCTCCTCTCTCCTTTCACAGAATCACCTGGCACTGTGGTTCTCCCCTCTCTCACCCGTCTCTGTCCCTTTAGGCCTGTGCCCACCGGTGGAAGAACATCTACTATGAAACAGACCATATCCTGCCTCACGGTTTCTGCTACATCATCCCATCCAACCTCCAGGCCCAAGGCAGGACGCTGATCCCTTGCTACGAAGGTGAGTATGTGTGTGGGGGGATTCTCCCTCATGCCCCTGCCCATGTCTTGCCTTAAACTCCTGCTCCCTTCTTCACAACCCCCTCCCCCAAGCATCTCTCCCAGCCTCCCACAGGCTATTGAGAGGGCATACTCTTTGTCCACAGATGGCCTCTAGCATGGAGGCTCTGTCCAGGGTACAAAAGGGTAACAGTCCTAGGCCCTCCCCAGCTCTGCCCATCTCTGCCAGAGCCCACAATACTTACTTTATGAAACCTCAGGGACCCAAATTCACCAACCCTCAGGCAAGTGTCCAAATAGTCCTTTTGGTGTCCTGGCACTGCCAGAGGTTGTGGCACCTTGGGAAACTGTCTCTAGGCTTCATTTTCCTCATCTGAAAGGTGAGAAGTAGGCCCCAATGATCTCTACTGCCCCAGGTAATGCCAGAAGCTTCCTAGCTGCCCCGGGGGACAAGTGTCCTCAGGCAGGGTGCAGAGCAGACCCAGGACTCATAAAGCTACACTATGGCAGGAGTGTAACATCTCCACCGATCAGGTCATCTCCTGACATCTGAGGTCTGGCTTTCCTTATAATATGACCCTGGAACTCGGGTAGACTCCTGGGAGTCGAGTATACCTTCCACAAGTTTTTAAGAGTTCCTCATCAAGGGACATATGGGGTCTTGTAAAGAAAGTATGTCTAGCGACTTGGGAAGCTGAGGCAGGAGGATAACAAAGTTGAGGCCAGCCTTAGAAACTTTGTGAGATGCTGTCTCAAAATAAGTTCTGAGGGTGTGTCTCAGCGGTACCCCTGGGTTTAATTTCTAGTACTGAAAAACAAATGTCCTTTCAGGTGCCTGCATAGAAGAACCTCAAATGCCTGGGCACTGGGGACAATCAAGTCGATCACTATGTAGTCTAGTGGAATTTCGGTTCGAGGGATTCAGAGATGGCTGTCCTTTCCTTCAGTGTGATCCCCTGTCCTCTAAGGTCCTTATCCTAGTTCAGTGAACTGGAATCTGTTCCCTCTCTAAGTGCTGGGCTGTTTATTTTTTAATTCATTCCCTCCTAATTGATTTGTTTGGACACACACACAATTTTTTCATCCACGCTGCCTTGGGCTTCCCTGGGATTTCCCAGGTTTCACATTTGTGGAATCAAAGTGGTATCTGAGAAACAATGTCAGGACACTGCAGTTTCCTGTCTCATGGAGGACCCTCTGGGGACTTGGGTGGCTGGCCTGAGCAAGGTTCTTTGTGATGTGGCCCCCACAGAAGAACCAGCAGTGTCCTTGTAGGGGGCAAACCCCTCCTCTGTGCAGATGAGTCATTTTTTATGTACGTTTCTCTGTGTGAGCATTTGTTGGACTCTGGCTGGGCCATCTTGAGCTCTAGCCCTCTTTATTTCTGTAACATTCTAGTCGAAGGAAAACTTTCATCTTAAAAATAGATGAAATTAACAACCATGTCAAGAGGGTGGATAGTTTGAGATGATGTATTGGGATTGTTGTGACCACCCAGCTTATTCCTCCTCCTCCTCCTCTTCCAGAAAGAAAACGGAATGGCCTCTGGAACAACTAGTTGGGTAGCTCATCGGGCTGGGGAAAAGAATCCACAGAGGCAATGGAGGTGGTGATTACTGAGCCCAATCTACTCATGCAGTAGGACTAAAAATGATGGGTCGTGAAAGGGGACCCATTGCTGTCCCCAGTGGTTCCTCTGCATGCCACATAAGCACCAGAAAGCAAAAGGACATCAGCCCCTTGCAGGGGGTGCTGGAATCGAATGTCCATGTAAACCTGCATCCACCATGGCTCATACTACTCATTTACTTAGCAGCCATGGGACCAATCAGAGGCAGGTTTAGTCTGGGGACTGTTCATTCTCTCCTTTGTTGTAACCCCCCTGAAAAACAATTTTTCACTTGGGTTTGATTACAAGTTGTTTATTTTAGAAGTTACATTAGAGGTAATTCTAGAGGATACCATGTGGGGGTGAGATAGAAAGAGAAGGGAAGGCAACTCATGAAGAAGGTTCCAACCAGCAAGTCGCTACCGTGGGTAACTGGGGTGCGGTCTCTAGGAGAGGGGTGTTGGGGCTGGTGTGGAACAGACACTTCAAGTCACCCTCCCTGGGGTCTTCATCCGCCCGCACCCTGTCCTGCCATGTGCACAGGTTAGGAAAGTGCCCAGGCATGGAGATGGGGGTGGTGGCAGTTGGCCATCAGGCTCTATCACGCACACGGTGAGGGGAGGGCACAGGGTGGGCCACTCAGAGGCTGGCTTCTGTGTCCCTATTTTCCTGTTAGAGATGAGGGAGTTGAGACTCAAAGTCCAAGTCAATTGCCTGTGGTCCTCAGGCAATTAGTAAATGGTAGGGTTGGCTTTTGAATTTTGCATCTATCTGACTCGGCAAACCATTTTGTGCCCCAGTGGTTAGAGACAATTTGTTAGTTTGGGAGTGTTTTAGTTAAAAAAACTAAAAGCCAATATAGTCAACAAACATATGAAAAAATGTTCATCTCTAGCTATTAGAGAAATGCAAAATCAAAACTAAGATTTCATCACATTCTAATCAGAATGGCAATCATCAAGAATACAGGCAATAATAAATGTTGGCGAGGATGCGTTGAAAAAGGCACACTATATATTGCTGGTGGGACTGCAAATTGGTGCAACCACTATGGAAAACAGTTTGGAGATTCCTCAAACTCTGAATGGAGCCACCTTTTGACCCAGCTATCCTCCTCCTTGGTTTATACCCAAAGGACTTAAAATTGGCATACTACAGTGATGCAGCCATGTCAATGTTTATAGCAGCTCAATTCACAACAGCTAAACTATGGAACCAATCTAGGTGTCCTTTGATAGATAAATGGATAAAGAAAATGGGATATATGTATACCACATTTATATATTATACACCACCACATATACATACACCATATATTATATACATTTTTATATATATACTATGTTATATTTTTTCAATGGAATATTACTTGGCTTTAAAGAAAAATGAAATTATGGCATTTGCTGGTAAATGGAGTTGAATATCATGCTAAGCGAAATAATCCAGTCCCCAAAAACCCAAAGGCCGGATGTTTTCTGATATGTGGATACTAATTCACAATGGGGGGGCACTAGGGAAGAATAGTTACCTTAGATTAGGTAAAGGGGAGTGAAAGGAAGGGAGGGGCTATGGGGATAGGAAGGATAGTAGAATGAAAGACATTACCTTATGTACATACATGACTGCATGATCAATGTGATTCTGTAACACGTACAATCAGAAAAATGAGCTATGTATATCAAAATGCATAAATGGATTCTACTGTAACAAATATCTAATTAAAACAAAAATTTCCACCTGGAAAAAGAAGTCAGTCCTCAACCCTCACAAAACAAAAGGTGACTGAACTTTCTCAAAGGTAGAATCATGAGGTTAGAGGAGTGTGACCATTTTGTATGTCACTGCTCCCATTGAGGCTTTGCCGGTTTTCCCCTTCCTCTGCTGGGGGCTCTTATGGGATGCTTGGCAGGAATGTGGGTGCCCATGTGAGCTGAGGCAGGTAGCTGCAAGTCTAGGGAGCAGGTTCAGTTTGGGTTGGCTGCATATGCCCCTTGTGCATATCAGTGCACGGGCTCCAGACAGCGTGTTTCCACTCACCCATCTCAGCACTTCTGACCATGTGCTCTGTCCCACGTAGCTTGCTGGTCCCAGAGTAGAACCAAGTGGAGCAGACCTGAACTGAACCTGCAGCTGGAGCCTATATATAGTTGTATGAGAGATCAATGTTATGGTCATGGAGCCTTCATGCTTGTTATGCAGTGATAGCTGACTGATACAGGACTCAGGAATCTAGATTACTCATGCTATGCAGCTGTGGAATGAGCCCAAGTCTATTTGCTTTGATGGTTCTTTGACTTCATGGCAGCCAAATGGAGCCAGTGAATAAATGAGCAAGATTTTGCCCCCATCCATTCCTGTTTCTTCATGGCACACACATTTCCATATCCTAATTTATCCTATGGCCTAGGCAACAGTGAGGGGTAGGGAATATTGGGGTATACGAGCATCCCTTTAGAAACAGGACTGAGAAGAAAGTTCCTGTTTCTTGGCCTTATAAAAGCAGGGGGATGGCAGATGCTCAGATTTCTCTAGAGCACCGTGCTGGCAGGGTGGGGTGGGTGGCAGGCTCCTCAGAGAGAGCTCTTGCCTGTGCTCTGTTGGCTTTGGAGATCTCTACTTCCCTGTTTTGTGGTCTAAACCAAACCTACTTTGGCTCTTAAAGCAACCATTATCTTCTCTTAATGTGGAAAATCTCAGTGACGCCAGCTCTCTGTTCTAGGTGGGGATCCCATTGTGGTTAAGTACAACGGAAGTATTAAGAGTTTGACATTCCCTCTCTCATGTCACCTAGGCCAACCTCCTGTCTGTACTGAGGTTCAGAAACTTGCCCAAGCCCGGGTTTTTCCTCTTGTTTTATTCACATGCCATACTCACGTGTGGATAGGCAAAGTGACATGGTGTTCAGAAGACGGACTCGGGACCCAGAACACCAGAGTTCAAGTCCAGCTCTGCCACTTGCTCTTATTAATAGTGTGTCCTCAGACGAGTTATTAAGCTTCTCTGCTACCTCAAGGTTGTGGAGAGGACTGAGTCAATTCCCGTGAGTTCTTAGAATAGCGCCTGGCTATACCTAGTATACCAAATGCTCAGCGTGTATGCACTAATTCTACTGCTGTGTGCCTCTGAGATATGCGGAGCAAGAGATTGTTGAAGGGTGATTGACTTGTGTCCCAGGAATAGAGTCCACTTAATTTTAAGTTCCTGGAAAGCACTAGTCAAAACCCAAGTGGCATAGTTCTGGCTATTCAGAAGTCCCTTATCTGCAGGAAAAGTATCTATTTGAAAGGGGGACAATTCTCTGCCCATGTGTGACTGCTGGGTACCCCTCCCCAAAGGCTCCAGCTGCACCCAAGTACAAGGTAGCAGAAAGGGTTATTTTCATTTACAATAGG